CAGGAAGGAAGCAAGACTCTGCTAAGAAACAGACCATAAAAAGCTATAAATGGCTGGAAAAACAGTAAAAATATGCCTCACACGCCTTATACAAAATACTTTTTACACTCTGTGTGATTTTATATAATATTAATATTAAATAGTATTATATTCAATTCAGCATAAATGTTGATGTTAATTTTCCTCCTGTTCACATCTGTGCATGCACTGAAGCCCCAAAATCACAGTACAAGGAAATGAAGTTATTGGGTTTATTCATTTTGTTTACTGTAAGCCTTGATGCAGAATATATTACATTAATATCTAATATTGTAGGATGCTGTCCTTGAAGTGTATTTCTTTTTTTTAGAGAAAGCTCCCAGGCTAATGTCATTTTATTAATCTATTGAAGAAATAAAAACATAATCCTTTTATTACTTCGGTGTTTTTTTCTAATATCCTATGATTTAATAGCTTTTACATTGCAATAATCAGTACACATGTATTTTCTCCCTCTTCCATGCAGAATGAAAATGTTCAACTGTTATTAAAAGCAGTAGAAATACATTAAAGATATAGGTTACAACGTAAAGACAGCAAATGTGTAGGTGTTTTTCAGGGACATTATTTGCAAAAATAAAGCACAACACACACTGTTAAGATGTCTGAGCAGTGTGTATGGGAGGAAATGTCCTTTATAGTTTAGCTGGGTTTGTATGAATGCCCACTAAGCAAACTAAGTGATTAGAAGAAAACATCAAGGCATATGCTTTTTACCATTACTGATAAACTGCAAACCAGGGTCTTTTACACTAAGCTGTTGAGTATTAGGGGAAAAAATTACAATTTTAAACATACGTATCATATCTTTTCATCAGTATTCAATTCAGTCTCTTAATTCTGCAAAATAATTGTTACTTAAATGTGATCTGTTTAGCGACGTCTGAGTAAGAGATTAAGCTATGCTCGGGAATTTGTCCGGCAACAAATTTGTCATGGTCCCCAGAGGATCAATCCTAATGATAGACTTTTCCTCTAGCGCCACCATGAGGCTGACATTTTAGGTTTTGAGTGGACTATCTAAAAACAACTTTTGTTGGCATTTAATTTGGGGCGCGTTATTTGTGGTGCCCAGACAATGAATTATAACAATTTTGGCGGCCCCATGTCTTTTCAACTAGCGCCACCATCAGGTCAAAATATTGAGTTGTGCAATACTTTGGTTTACGACCAAATGTCCCAACATCACCCTCAGTTGTTCTTTGTGTTTCGTGTTAATTGGTCAATCTTAGCATTCGAACACATGCTAAACCTAGATGATGAACACGGCAAGCATTGCCTAATAAACATCAGCATGGTAGCATTTTTATTGTGAGCATGTTAGCATGCTGATGTTATCGTCTTACAGAAGTGCATGCACAGCTGTAGACACTTTATTCTACCACACAAGACACGTTTTTTAAATCATGAGTTCTAAATCTGACACCTCGCAATTCTAAATTGTAATTTTCAAGAGCAGCCTGAGTTCATGATCAACAGTGAAGTTCCATTAAAGTGTGAGGTTTGAGACAGCCTGCAGTCTGACACAAACTGGCAAGTCTCTGGTGTTTTGCACCACATCTAGTTGACGCAGCGCGACTGAAGCACACACAGTCTGGCTGTGAACTCCCAGACAGATTTATGAGGGGAAGTCCTCTATTCAGACACAACTATCCACTGATGAGAGAACGCACAAATACTGCATCAGCATGTTGCAGTGTTTGTGCTTTCTCTCATCAGGGGATAGTTGTGTAAAGCTTTTACACAGATTTCCTCCATTCCCCTTCCATAATCATGAAACCTGATTAAATTGAATGTGAGATCACGGAAGTTATAAAGAGCCAATTAACACAAGGCAGATGTGCTTTGTGGGAATATTATAGGACATTTTACTGATGATAGATGAATTCATGGGGGTAAAGAAAACCTTGTTTGACTCAGTGCTCAAAAGTGCTCAAAGCTACAATGTATGCCTCCCGCACACACACACTTTAAGTATTATGAGCGTAAAATAGCAATACAAGAGATTTACTTGAGAGTCCACCTATTCAGTGTGTTTACGGTCATTAAACAAACAACGGTGCTCAATTTGTCACACAAACCAATGGCGTAAAACATTTGTGATGGTTGATAATCACACGGCAGAGAAGTCCAAACCCTGCTTACGCCGGGGCTGCTACTGTGATTCTCTTTTCTTTTCTCCTTCCATGAAGAGAACTGCGGAAAACACCCAAGCCACACCAAAATTGGATTTGAGAGAAGGGAAAAATCTGCCTCTTTTTATCAGTGTCCTCCCTCACAAATCTAAAAAGTGCACCACAGTGTGCTCAAATCGTAGCTGTAAGATAGCCTTGATAACAATACCACCAAGCCAGGGATTACCTCTGTTCTTTTCATGTTCTCCGATCCGTGAACAAACCGTAAACATTACCGAGCTAATGCCAAATAACAGGAACAATTATATTACAGGGCTTTATCTAATGCAAGCTCACTTAAGACAGAGACTCATTTACAACTTAATGACCATTATGCTACTTATTCAAATCGAATTGATAATCTGTTAATGGTTTGAAACTGAATTTAGGATTAGTGGTTCTCAATGAGAAATGTTCCATTGCTATAAAACACTTTGACGCGGAGTAAGGTCAGAATGAAAATGTCCACCAGAATGCTGATGAAATTAGACCAGTTTAAAGTCAATTTGATGTAGTACAACGTAAACAAAGGAAACACAAACGTGGCAGTATGCTAAACAGTCTGTCCGTATCGTGTCCTCTCTCAGCCAGAAGTTATGTTTTTGCACCGTCGAGATTTTAAACTCAACATCTCATACAGATGACTTTTGGTCCATTGATTTATGTCATATTTTGCTTTTTTCCAGTGAAAACAAACCATTTTCTGTGCCTGCAGTAGCCTATGTCAATCCTCTCTCTCATTTCTTGGTCCTTGCTTGCTCAAGGACATGAGCTGCAAGGCTTAAAAGTCTGCCAGGGGCAAGAGAAGAGGAGCTGGATGTGTGCCACAGCGCTGGGGCGCAGGACCACAGCAGTGGATCTTTCAGAGGACAATTACAGATAAAAACTCTCCGCTGAGAAAGAGCCGAAGAATCTCTGCTGGGTTGGTATGGTAATGTTGGTGTTCCAAAAAAAAAAAATTCTACAGGACAAGCCCAATCGCTTGTCTGGGATATAAAAGCATGAGGACAGACACACAGTAGGGACAAGAGAAGGCATGGCGCTTAGTACTTAAAGATGTAGACTGAAGGCTATCCTTGCTTGATCCCCTTTTGGATCATGTTAAGCTCAAGGATAAGACGCAGAGAAGGAAGATTGGATATTCCACTCAGGAGTCCCAGCGAGGTGTCTCACTGGAACACACCTAGCGGGTTCAATCAATAGAGAGGACATTCTTTTTAGAATATATGAAATAAGGCCAGTTCTCTGAAAACTGAAAAAAGACCTTTAGTCTTTATCTTTACTTCATCACGATGACATTTTATTCAAGAGATTTCGAATCAATATTTCAGGTCTCTGTGCTGATAAAATGTGTGCTTTTCCAAACAAAGTGTGTAATCACAGTCACACCAGCATACCAGAAGGTTTTTTTTACTCCCTGATTATGCCTTCATTATGCTGTGCAGACATTTTTCTAGCATGGATTTGATCCTCTCATTTCCTGGAGTGTGTTATCAATTCCCATCACTATTCACAGTGAGAATCTGTGTCCTGCAGCTTTATGACACACAATGCTCCATTAGGATCATACTGTGTATGGTTACTGAGAAGACCTTTGCATATGGCAAACATCATTACTGTGCACTTCCAGCCAGCGAGTCAGCACTCATGATAGAGGTGCTGTCAAAAAAGGAGCCATCCTCTGAGCGGCGAGAAAGAAGCACAATCAAGATGTATGTCAGTAGACGTGCTAAGCATCAACTTAAGCATCAACTGTCTGGAAATGCATGACCTCTAAATTCTATATGGAAATCAGTGTAGGTGTTTCTTTGTGTGGGCTTTTACATGAATATAATCAGATGGTGATTCTTGTCCTCAAGGCCAAAAAAAAAGGCAAACGTGATACGGTGTGAATAAGAAAGATGTTTTTCATTGCAGTTGATTTTAAATTGATTATTTGCAGCTGCAAAACTGACAAAAAATCTAAACCTAAAGGCATAATGTTTACAAACATCATTTTTGGTTAAACCCTTTTCCCACAAGACAGACAGATGGGAATCATTTGCCAGACCACCAGTGGCCCCCAGATCCGTAAATTCTGGCTGTAAAACAGCTAAAGTAAATGCCGCTCTCCTCCTTGTGGCACTTAACGACTGATGGGCACATTTACATTATCACTGTTTTAGCAAGAAGTCAGAGAGATAGAGAAAAAGTCCTGCAACTATATGTCCACAATACACAGTGATTATTATTGCTTGTGTCCTGTTGTGATTTGATATCTCACCACTGCAGGTCTCTGTAACTTTTCCCATAAAATGATTATGGGCTGTGAGATGAATTTTGATGTTATAACCTGACAAGCCAAGAGGTAATAAAGCCACAATGTCTCTGTTGCACAAGAGAATCCCTGTCATATTGAAATATTCATGAGATAAATGTTCTTTAAGGCCAGGCCTGCTCTGGGTATGTTGTACAGGTGCAGTGGGTTCTTCATCATACATAATGCATATCTGAACAGATACGGACTTTAATTTTTGTCATGGAGTATAACTTAATTAGATACCACGCAAAATAACACCGGGTGGCTCATATATTCCGATTTGAATTAGAGCAGATTGACACCCACACAGCGGTGTGTCCCTGTGTGTTAGGAAGCATTTGTCCCAAATACCTGGCTTGAACTCGTCATATGTGTTGGCGATGGTTTCTGTTTAACTTCTTCATGTCTGGCTGCATTCTCTTTGTTAGAAAAACACATATTCTCAGTTGAAACAATGGAATAGTCGGGAACATTGAATTTGTGCTTACCTCCAAAAAGTAACACCGCCGACTGAAGTGCAAGGATATGCAACATGTTTCTTTGAGTCGTTGAGCAAACACGAATTCCCCCCAAAAATAGATGGAAGCGGAAATGGCTTAATTCAAAGAAAAAAGTCCTTCTTGCGGCATCATTAGTAAAAACTGAAAAATCATATTTTCTGGTAAAAAAAAATGTCTCATGCCTTAGCCAGTCATTTGCAAATGCTAAAAAAGCATAGTGCGTGTGACAAATTAAAGCGAAAGCCTCTTCACTTGCGTCTTATCTAGTTGTTTTCGTCTGGAAAATTCAAGAACTGAAGAGAAGAAACTTGCGCGCAGCTTTGCATTACTCTTTGAAGCATTTTCGGAAGAGAAAGACCCTTAGACGCCTGGTAGAATGACCGGTGCGAGACGTCTGTTGTTATACATCTTCACAATGATTCTCCAAAAGGAATTCTCTCCAAAAAACAGCCGAAGTGAAAACGTTTCAATCCCTTGTCCTCAGTTGGTCAGTTTGTCTGCTCTGTTTCCTCCGCATTACCAGGTACTTGAAGTTGGCTGCTATGCAGTGCGTAAAGTACGACACTTGGGGACGAACAGAAGCAGCTCCCACTCGGCACCATGTATGGTATAACATATAGAAGTAAAGAAGTTTAAATTGCCACACAGGTCAGCGTACATCCACACCCAGGCAAGTCCTGAGCGCAACTCCAGCAGCCCGCAGCAGAGCGCGCGGAGCTCTGATCCCGGAGCCAAATGTTCAGAACTGCCACTTCTAATTACACTTTGGCACCAAGTGCTTCAAATAACCTGCGAAAGTCCGCTTTCAAGCCTTCATCTTTCGATGTTTTATGTAGACAGGCAATATGCTACAGTTTCAGTGGAGCTTACGCACAGTCAGCCGTCCAATGCGCGTCGAGCGGGAGAGGAGAAGAAAGCCGTGAGCTGTGACAATAACTGACACTGGCACACATGGGGAGGCGTGTGGCGCTCCAGCAACACACCATTTTTCACAGGTAGTGCTGAGAATACACATACGTATTTATATTAATCACTGTTGACCAACTTAATTCACATTCAACCCAAAAGGCATCTCCCCTTCAGCTCTTCTTCAGAGAGGACATTTACCTAAATCATATATCTTCTTCCTTACTAAATGCCTTACACTTTCCCACCGACACAGTTGCCCTCTGTGGACAAAAAAGAATGACTTGAAAAAGTTGTTATCGAACATGTCCAATTGATTGCATGATTGCGCCACTCGGCATGCACTAGTGACCCCTTGTGGCACGGGAAGTGAACTGACCAGAGCTGCTCAGGTGTGAAGGAGGACAGAAGGCAATGGACACCTACCACTGTGGGGCACCATAAAGATCCAATTAGAAACCAGTGATTAAAGAGATTTACATCGAGAAAATCACCAATTTGATGTGCGGTGGTGCTCCACAGTGAGTTTCTAGTGTCCTTGTTGCATTTCGACTTCTTCGTTCCTTTATTTCCCATTCCTATTCATATTCAAGGCCATAAGAGACATATGCTCTATCCCAGCATGCATCTCGAATATGTGTATAGCAACCTATGGTATGTTCTAGCAGACTACCTGAACATTACAAGCTCTTTTTATAAGGTAACATCGTCTACCAAACATGTAAGATGGGTAATAGCATACTGCCATCAGCAAACTATGGCTCTATTGCCATATAATCTCTGATGCAACGTCATACATGACTTTATATAGTGAAATGGTCATGTTTGAAAGAATTTGCTGCCACTCTACAACGTAATTGTTGCCTCTGATGGATTCTTCAGGATTAAAACAACCTCAGACAGGAAAATCAAATTAAATATGGTTTATTACTGTAATCTGGTAATTGATTAAACCGTGAGCCAGGTTTTTTTCTGGGCAGGCCAGATGGTGTTGTGAAGTAAAGATAATTAAAGATCCATGAACGCTAAATACGGAAATATCAGATGAGTCACCCAGCAGTCTAATCATTCTTTTCATGAGTGTTTGTCTTTGCTTGTCTGCCATGCTGTGATCACTGTAAGTGAGGACCTAACATTCTGTTGGTTTGTACTTTGATCGTGGGAAAGATGCTCATGCTGTTCTGAGATGTAATTAATGTAAGCATGATTTTACAAAGGAAGATGATGTTTATTAATCACAAATTAATCACACACTGAAGGCGACAAATACTAACCTAACCATTTTAAACTAAAATTATATGTACAATGTAATAATACTTTATGTGGAGATACAAATACATGTTCTGACTACAGGTACGCCCCACACACTGCTTAAGGCAAAACACCAATTTTATATATTTTAGTTTGCATGCTTATAGCTTGCAGTCAGTTTATCACAGCATCATCATCAAAGCAAGATGTGGCCTAAAAGTGGTATCACAACCTACACTTTGATTCTATGCAGCAGTTATGTCTAAAAAGGCCTGTCAAAGTGAAAGGAAATCAACCATAGCACTTACATTCACACAAATAGTGTGTGAATACTACTCCTTTAGTTGTTGAAAAGATGTTTTTGAAGGTAAGAGCAGGTTTGAAAACCCTTTAAAAAATCATAGTTACAGCCACTGCATCTGTCTTTATTTAAGGTATCCTTTCTAGTTGACTTCAAATTCCATTTGCTCCTTCAGGAGCCAGGCTTTTGCTTCTTCCCAAATGTGTGCAATTTGATCGTGGAAACTAATCCACTCTTGTACAGCTGCAAGAAGCATTAGAGGTGGGGGGGAGGGGGGACAAAAGTGTTGATGTAGAGCAGTCACTTCTCTAGCTGTAATGGTTGAGCTGGAACATCACTCACACAAAGGCTGGTAGCTGTCCAAAAGTAGCCCGTCTATACCCTAACACTCAAACAAATCCCTTGAAGCCCACACTACACTGCGGTCCGTTCAATAGCTGGAAATCAGAGAGAGAACCAGACAGAGCCAGAATGGCTTGGGTTACATTGCCTGTGTAGCTGCAAGTCATTAAAAAGAAGCTGAACCCCTGTCAGTCCTGCATATGGTAAGTCCATATCCTTGGCTGCTGTAAAAACTCACACATCATCCATCTCCCTCCTGAAGATGATGAAGTAAACATTAGATTAGGAAAAGATGGAAGTTTTAAAAACAGGTCGAGCAGTTGTAGGCAATATTTAAAGAGAAATGTAGGACGGTGTCTTGACACGCTCAACGTTTAGATGCGCAGACCTCTCCGAGGACAGGTCGTAGGACTTTGATGTCTGAAGAAAGCTATCAAGTCTTTGATGTCTGAAAAAAGATCTGGAAGCTTTCACACCTTGAAAATAGGCTGAAGACGTAAATGTCAGACGCACGAACATACAAAACATTGCATCTACACTTTCAGACATCGGTCGCCAGATTTTACTTGTGAATGTTTGCAAGTTTAGTGTTCTACAAGAGCAAAGATTTTCTGACAAACAATACTATATACAATTCCTGGTAAATTTAGTATATATATTAAGATATTAAGAATACCATATGGGTGAATAGAAACACACTATAGGCCGTATTTTTGAACTTTCCCACTGCCCCCCCCATGACCTTCAGTCCTGTAGGTCCCGGGGGTATATACCTCTATGACGAATCGTGCCCTGTGTCTCCTTTTGGGTTGTATCCTTCATCTATGACCTTAACCAGCCTCAGTACCTTGTCCTCCAGTCAGTTGGTAGACAGGAGGCCCAAATTCATCACCACCTTTCATTTTCCTACTCTGGCCTATCTGATGTATGACAGCATTAATAATAACCGCTGCAGAATGCCCCGTCGCCCTCTGCGCCTTGCCCACTCGCCGCCTGCGCAGATTACCACTAGCCATTCACAGCCCATTAAAACTGTATTTACTTATCAGCCTCTCTGGGGCCGTCACTCTGTTTTCAAGACTGATGCCCAGAGGGATGGCAAAGGGTGACCTTCCTGTAGTCTGCTGTGCTGTAAGTCACTAGTCTAGTCGCAAATGACTCGTCCTTTATTTTGCTGCCTCAACTCTACTGAAAGCAACGTTAGCCCCTTTCTATAACGAGACATAGAAAATTTAATAAAGCCAATGGAATAAGACATAAAGGGTGTTCATTTGAAATTGTTATCGACCCTTGTTTTTTTTGTTTTTTTTTAATAGTCGAATAGTTAGATTAATAAAATGATACAGCTCTAATATCTGTCCATTGAATATGAAACTATAAACAGCAGCCAGTTAGCTTAGCTTAGCACAAAAACAATCAGCCCTGGCTCTGTCCAATGGTTACTAAATCTTGTCGCCTCCTCTAAAGCTCGCTAATTAACACGTCTATCTTTTTGGTACAAAAACGAAAGTGTTAAATTTGTCTTTTTACTGCGGGTTTTATGTGCCACACTAATTATGCCCTGGGAGCAGAAACTTCCTGGAGTCGGGTTGCCAGGCAGCCCAAAATGTCAAAATATTCCTTTAAATGGAATTTTAGAAAAGCTCAAGAAACTGACTGTAAGCTACTGCAGCATAGGTAGCAACGAGCTGACTGAAAAATAGAGATGAAATAAGAGTGAATACTTGAACATCCCTTCTGCCAGTGGCCAGAGACACAAGTCCAAACGAATGCTAATGTTGCTGTATGTCTGCTTGATGTGTAAATAGGCAAACACGCCATATCATCTTCAAATCAGATATGTCAGTGTTTTTCACTGTTTCTTTTTCCCTATGTGCTCAAAGTTAAGTTATTGCTGGTTTAATATGATGCAATTTATGATGGTTTCGACGTATTATTGCTCTGATATACTTAAAAGACAAATATTACAACGCTATCAGGCTTCAGTGCATTACTCTGTTTGTCTCAAAGTATGTTAGCCAGAGCAAAGACTTTCCTACAGTTGTGGTTGACTGCATATGTGCACAATATATTTGACTGACAGTTGAGCAATCATGATAGCATAAATGGGACGAGGTGAACTCTCCTCATTCCTCCTTAAACAGACAGTTCTTTCTTATCAGTTAGAATGTGTCATAGTCTACTTTGGGTGTGCTTATGACTTCCTCTGACCTTTAAAATAGCTGATTATTTCCATCCACAATGTTCATTCGGCAATACGCTGCCAGCACAAAAGGATATTAGGCCCAAACTTGCTGGTCTGATAATTCCACCTCTCTGTATGGAACTGAGGGAAACCAAACCACAATGTCCTGCCACTCTATTATCATTTCACTGCCTCCACTTTCACCTTCCCCACTGCTATTCAATCACCTTTCACCTCCGAGTGTGCCGTTTTTTTTAGAAGCTGAACAGTTGTCTGTGTCATCTATTTTATTACATCTTAAAAGTACTCTGTGGTAATTAACTTATCCTTTATGCATTACCCTCCCGGGACAAACTAGACAGCTTTGCGTAGCCCAGAATACTTTGTAGCTGTGTAAATCTCCTCAGTGTTGGGAGACCCACCATGCCTCCAGCTCCCCTGACAGCACTGTGTGATAGAAATAGAGGGAATCTCAAAGGGCAACAGGTCTAAATGTTTAATAGATTCTTATTTTACTTGTGGTAATCTGGTAATCAGAGGTTCGAGGGGGTTACATCTATCACCCAGGGAACAAATAAAAGTCTTATTGTGTTCTGCTCCCTCTCACCTCGGGAGGAAATGTGAACCAGATAAATGATGGCCTTGTTTCAAGAGAGGCTCAATCTATTGCCAACGATTTGTGGCCAACAAAGTAATTTCGATACCGTTCTTTGTATTGATATATGGGGCCTAAATTTGATAAAGAGCCAATTTACTCGTAAGCGGTATAGGAATGGAGCTGCCGTTATCGCCCCTCTTTTTTTCCCTCTTTGCTTCCAATCTACCAATCCAGATCAAATTAGATGGATGTAGAATGACAGACAGCACAGAGGGTCATATTATTTTCACAAAGATTTGCTCTTAACTATCACCATTACTCTTTGGTAATGCCTGTGAGTTCTTTCGTCACATATAGTATGACAGATCTTATGATATTTAGTGACTGTCTGAGTGCATTTTCTGTTGGATTACATTTTTTGGCTGACTGTTAAGCTTTAACAGAGGACCAAAAAAACACCTGCTCAGTATTTCAGGTCATGTTAACTTGAGCATTTCCTCCTTCTACCTCAGGGAGAATACAAATAACAGTGGCTTACAGGATTTTTGAAGAAGCTGTTTCAAACCTTGCATTTTGATGACTACAGGCACTTAAAATGCAACGCTTTGTGAACAACATTGACACTCGCTGTGCCATAGTGATGTTCCTAAACTTCCTCAAGAACCTGCGTGAATGTTAATCTTCAGAACTGGAAATGTGGGCCCTGCAGCTGAGATGCTTTCATCGCCAAACACCGGTAGTGTGTTGCCACCTACTGTTATTGTTGTCTGACAAGAAACAGTATGCTCTTGCGACCACTTGGTGGCAAAGTGACAAATTAACCTCAGAGTGAAAAAGAGAGATTGTGTGCTTCACCCTGGGAACCCCCAACAGGTGTGTGCACAAAGTCTTGAGCACTAATCGCTGGCAGATTTATTAAAGGAGAGGTAAAGTAGATTATTCATGAGCACATGGCTCAAAAATTTAGAATAAATTGAGCGTGTTTGGAATATAGCAAAAGAGACTTTAGCCATATTAGAGGGATTCTGAGCAGCCTGCCATGTGTTCAGGGAACAATACTTTATTGATCGGGTGACTGGATGTGAAAATAATCATTTTCCTGAAAGTGACAAAATTAGAATTAATCAAGCCTTGATTAAATTACTGCATTCTGTTTTCCACTTCAGAGGAGAAGCTCTGAGTATGGAGAACAGATTCTCCCAGGACTGTTTTTTGCATTTTTGCCCATGTTTACATGAGGGCTTGTGTTTGCCTACATGCATGTGCTGTACAAATGTGTACCACTGATTCCAAGCTCAGAGACCTGTGTAGACCAGTGATGCACTGCTGCCACCTAAAGACTGTTTGAATCAACCATTTTTTGGTCTGCAATCATACAGAATACTGTACTTTACCTCACATAATACACACACAACTGCAATAAAAGCATTGAAATGATTCCCATCGTATGTAGTTGTTCATCATAATTTTAATACATTTTACACACAGAATCTCTAGTTTGCATGTATTATTAATACAATAGGTACAGTAGGAGCTTCACATAAAGCGTTAAGGGTACCAAAATAGCTGTAAACAGAAACTGCATATTCAGATTTTCTTGTTACTGAACATTGCTTTTTCATTAAAGTCAGTTCAAAAATATCCATTGTACAATGTCATTACCATATGATGTGTTCAAAATTAGACACACAGATGTGTTAAAAATGATATCTTTTGTAAGAGAGCATATAATTCAAAAGCTCTCAAAGCGAGCCATCTGTCACCAAACCCAGACACGGCAGGGGTTTGTTTGCTAACAGGACAAAGGCGACTGTTACCAACCAGATGCTGTCAGAATAATGAAGTAGTTGTCAAAAAAAAAAAAATGCTGCTGTCTTAGACGAATGTGCCATATGGACAAAGTAAAACAAAGGACGAACTGTAATTGGTTGGTAAAATATTTTGTTGGTCACATTTTGTCTGTAAGAACATCAAACAAAAATGCCAAATGGTAATCAGTGTCTTTATCTCTGGAAGAAGCAGACCTAATGAAAATGGTCTGTTATTATGGTTTGTCAAATACATGACAGGACATGTTAGTAGACTGGGAAATATGATCTGTGAACAGTGTTGCCAGATCAGATTGACAGTTTCCTGCACAATCACAACTTAAAACCCTCCCAATTCAATGAAAACACATCATAAGCACACAAAGCTTCATATCTGCACCAAATAACTAAATTATCTTTGTTGCAAATAGTTTACAAATTTTTAAAAAATCTATATGTAATTCGGATACCCCGTTATGCCTCAATAACAAACTACTGTTCAAAGAAGAAAAAAGCCTCTGCATCAAGCTTACCAATCTCTATCATTGTTTATTTAATAACTGAGTGATACGCCAGATGCCTGTTTGCTTGTTCATTTATTCATTCATCTTTTTTTGAGTTCTAAACTGGATAAATCTTGTTTTGTTCATTACATTGTAGCTGCAGGTTAAGGACAGAGCGTCAAGAGGAACCATCGTTGCCCTCTTGTGCTTTAACGGGGAACGAAAACACCGTCGGACCGACGCGAATGACGTCGGCGTGCGGGAGGCTTCCGGTTTTACAATCGTACAACTGGCGTGAGTGTGTGAGTGAGTTTATAACGATTTACCTTGTTAGTAATTTATCTCAAAGACTTGAATTCATGATTTAGGAAACTAAATGAGTGATACATTTAGCCACCCATGCTAGCGTCCACTGCGACGTTTAACATGTGCCTGCTAAGTTAGCTCGCTAGCGTTACAATATGACGAGTAACGTTTGTCTTAGAACATAAAGTTAGCTAACGTTGGCCAAATCTAACGTTAAGAAGAGAGTTGAACGGTGCTTGAGCAGAAGTTACAAAATACATTCATTAAGATTATAAAATATTGTTTGCAGAGTTGCAACGTGCAAGTTAGCGTGAAGTGTCGAAAAACATTTGTCAGCTGACATCGACATCCTACCAACTAGGATAACTGTAGACTCCAGAGGTACGTTTTTTTTTGTCAAATCTGATGCTTTATTCTATCAAATCTATATTTAATGTATTTGTCAATTTGTTCCAAATTACTTCATATCATTGCTTTCTTTTCTACAAAAATACATGTCTGCTTCAACACTTGCAGGGGGGTTGGAGCACTTTAGAAGTAGACACAGATTAACTGTGCTGTTTTCCTTTTACACAATATGCAAATTATTTGTAATAGTTTTTTTCCTCCAGATTATATAAATTACATAACTAGTAATGTTTTGAGCAGAAGTTAACATTTCCTATGATGGCTGTTTCTTACAGTAGTTTCTTCTTGTGTTCCCCGGTCAGTTGTCGCTCTGTGTTAAATATGTTGGCAGGATGAGGGTTAAGCATGTTGATCTGAAGAGAAGCCTTCGATATGACTTGTGTTCTCTTGTACATTTGTGCTCCAGGTATAGAGTGGAGGAGCCATGCCTTTCCTCCACGGGTTTCGTAGGATCATATATGAGTACCAGCCGCTGGTAGATGCTGTCCTGTGTGTTGTTGGACTGGAGGAAGGAGACGGTACTCACGAGGACAGGTAAAGCGAAGTTTAAACAATCGTCCTGTTTAAATTGTTTGTAGCAGTGTATTTTACTCCAGCTGTAGTACCATAACCGCTGTAACTTCAGAATGCATTCGATAGAAACACAGTTTGTCTGAATCAGTGCTACTTTCTGCTCTTGTGTCCAGAGTCCGAAGCCCCGAGGATCCGTCTGGTGCTTGTGGCTCTCTAGCGGAGCTTCTGGAGCGGGAGTCCCAGTCGGACGTGTTTGTGGAAGGCATCAGCTATGCCCTGTTTAAGGTGGCAGAGCGGGGACTGGTGACTGCAGCGGAAATCCTTCTACGCTATGGAGCTCATCTAAATTTTGAAGGTGAGAAATAATTTGTGAGGGGGCTGTAAATGCATAGTACAAAGTTTTAGTAAAATAACCAAGCACCTAAAATAGGATTAGACATCCAGAGAAACCAACACACTGATATTGGTTACTCTGGCTATTGCACTCCATCCTACTTGACCAATATATGCCGTGTTGGCTAGAGTAGCTTTCATCTTGCTCCAGTTTTAATGGGTGATTGTTAGTCTCTGCTACATTGTCAATTGAATACATTCCAAACATTTAAAGACAGATTTTACTTCTTCCGGCATATTGTAAGTTGAGCGAGTTGCCGTCCATCTACACTTGAGAGAATAAGTCTGCCTTTAGCAAATTGCAACGGAAAGTGCGGCATGTCTTGCAGCAGTGATGAAACCTGCCAGGGCTCAGCCAGACTTTGCTATGGTGACCTCTAGTGGGAGTAAAAATGTCTTTCCCTCGGGACATAATTAGGGAAACCTGGCAGAGGCTGCTTCATTCATCTTTTACATTTCTTGAATGTCTTTTTGAAGAAAGTTAACACTGACAAATTCTCACTTGTAGCATGCAGAAATGTTCGAGTTTCTCTATTCATTTTCAACTATTTGTCATCCTTTTCCTTCCTGTTTAAGAATAGCTTGTGCCAGTTATCTGACAGGCACTGTGCTGAAGCAAGAGCATATATAGTTAGGATAGCTACTAGTCACATATGTGGAATTTAATCATCTTGACACCTATTATAATGTATACATAAAATAGAATTTGTTATACAAAGATGCACGCAGGAAGAAACAATCAGTCTGTGTTCCACTGAGAAACCTCAGTCAGGTGCAGTTCTGTTGCATGTAAAACTGAGAATTACCTTTTATTATGTGCTTTTATACTGGATGTAGTATTGTCAGAAATCTTTATCCGTCTGACTTCTATATTTAATCTCTGTGATAAAGAATCATTGTGTTAATATGAATGTGTGTGTCTACCCTCCAGACCCAGTCTCTTACTACAATCCTCTACACATAGCCATTTTGAGGAACAAGCCAAACATGGTGAGGCTGCTGGTCGGGCACGGAGCGAGTGTTGAAAAGAGAGACAGGGTGAGGCGACGGTCAAACTTGGATTCATGTCCTCTCTTGTTGTCATGGTACCCCGTCTGTTTTCTTAGTATTCCATGTGAATAATATACATTTTACTCTGTAGATCCATGAGAGCAGTCCTTTGGATCTTGCCAGTGAGGAGTCGGAGAGGCTCGCCTGCCTGCTCACCCTGCTGGACCTCGGTGCTGATGTGAATGCAATGGATAAACATGGTACATTTACATTGCTCGGCCGATTTAAACAATATTAATTCTGCTCCTGATTCTTTCATTTTGAAAACCGATTCATTTGCTCTTGTCTCTAAAGGAAAAAGCCCTTTGCTCCATGCATTGGCCAGCAGCGATGGCCTCACCGTGCATAACACAGAGAACATCCAGCTTCTACTTCAGAGAGGTACTGACTGTAAAACACCCTTCATCTTCACTTTGTCCACTTTCAAATACTCTCTCAAACAGGATCGTGGTTAAACCACAACTTGTGTTGGTGTGCATACCTGCCTGCCCACCTGTATGCGTTTTGAGATCAAAGTAAACTGTCAGTGGTTGTCAGGCTAAAAAATGGACATCATGTAGACTTCATGGTCTTTTCTCTTTTAAGTAATTACAACCAGGTCTCGGGTCTTTTCTTTTTCCAAAGCCAGATCTTTTATGGACAATTTTTCCCAAAAGTTTTTAATTGTTGATCCAGATTTCCAGTCCTTCACGATACGTCTCTTGACTGTGACCATTTCAAACATAACTGCCTACTGAACATTAGAATCATACACATGCATCTATCTGTCGGTAATAGAAGATATTGTTCAAATATCTAACAGGAGATAGTGCACCGTCATCTCTCAGACAGGTGAAATCATTTTATTCCAATGTTCTCAGTATGCCAGTTAAAGGAGGTCAGTAGTGAGTGTGGAACATTCTGAGAAGAGAGACGCAGTTTGGGATACTGGCGTCCTGCCTACTGATGACTGACACCACATGATACTATATCATTTTATTGTCATTTGATGACAATAAAATGAAAACGTCATTGACATTTATTAGTTGTAGACTTGGAAAATAAGGACATCAGGATACCTTCTTCAATTGTTACCTTTTATTTTACCTGTTTCACAAGTCCACCAACTTTATGGAAGTACTACATTGCTGGAGTACCCCTTAAAAAAGGCTCATTAATTATTAAAGCTGTAACCAGTGAAAGCTCTCTGAGCTATCCTCACTAGTTTTGTGAGTTTCATAAAGGTCCGAAACATTTACTTTATTGTCAAACGAGTCATTGATAAATATCTACGGTACCTATGCTAAGGCGCATATGCTCTAATGTGCATGTAACAGATTTGTTCTGAGTGATGCTTTCTTCACTACAGGTGCCGACGTTAATGCTGCGACTGTAGAAGGTGAAACAGTTGAGTCCTCCTTGGTGTTTCTGGTGAAGGAGGCTCTGGAGGCCAACGAGGAGGACGCTGCCGAGATCGGTAACTTCTGCTTGAAAACCACGCAGCTCCTGCTGGCTCACGGTGTGGACCCCAGCTGCTGTGTGAATGAGGATGGCGAGCCGTCCCTGACGCAGACGAGCCTGGAGCACTTTGACCTGCTCTTCCCTCTGGCTGTGCTCTTAATCCAAAGAGGGGCCTCTTTGGTTTGCTCCTATCACGGCGAGTCCTGTTGGTCAGGTTACAGCCTTCTTTTCCAGCAGCTGCAAACGGCCCTGCTGCAGTGCTCTGATCAAAGTCGCAATTCTGAGCTTCTGGAGCAAGCTGAGGCGTTGCTCGACTTAGCGAGGGTAGACGCCCCCATGCTGCATCTGCCTCTCAGGCTGGAGCTCCCTGTGCCCGGTCGGGACCCTCACCCTTACGCTCAGGCTCTGGTAGACCTGCACGACCGTGTGATACAGCACGAAGCGAGCCCTCCCGCTCTTCGATGCCTTTGTAGGGCATTCATAAGGAGCCAGCTACAGCCTTGGCCCTTGGCAGACAGAGTCAAAGCCTTGCCGATACCCGACAGACTGAAAGACTTTATTCTTCCTGAACGCACATATATCCCAAAGCCCGGCTGGGACCGCTTCAAGCCCCAACATAGCCAGCGCTGACAATACTGACTACTTTGTGTTCTACCTAAAACCCAAATCTAAAGACTGAGCAGGCCTGTAATAATTTGTATAACATGTCTGAGCATAAATGAACCTAAACCTAACAAACCATTGAGGCCTTTGTTTAATTATTGTTGTTGTTTGTACCAAATTAACAGACGCATGTTGGTATGTTTACTTTAAGACACAAAGGTGTGTCTGTAAAAATGACCCTGTGGCTTTTAACTAAGTTCTCACTGTTATGATTAAACATCTATACAGTTGAGCGATGTGTAAAGGGATGTGCAATACAAAATAAAAGCCACCAGATGGCAGTGTTACTCTTGCGTCTCAAAAGCAACTCGGATGCCGGGGTCAAAGATTTAGTTATTCACAGTGCAGCCTACTTAAGTTGTTCCAGTGCAGTAGGCTCCATCTATATTTCATCTCCTCAACGTGATGGTGGTGTATTGTGGAATTAGTGTATCCCCTGCTTAATATGAAGTTGGACCAATAAAACAAGGCATGCGTCTCACCAACATGTGTCCCGGAAACCTTATTCTATCCAGAAATATCTGTTAGCCATTATTTTATGTTTGTCAACATGTTACAGCTCGACACTGACCAGGTAGTGGCAGTGCAGCGCTGAATGTGACTCAAACTCTCTGGCTACTTGTTTGGAGGGAAATAATTGTTTCTATATTTACCTCTGCGGTTGTGTTCATACACCAAGCATCAGTTGAGTGAATGCTAAAATAAAGAAGCAGGAATATAAAGCTGCCACACGGCAGGAAGCCTGTAGATGTTTTGACATGGTGTTGCTGTGACATCATGTAGCTGCAGTGGCTGCTGGCGTGGAAAGTTTTGCCAAGCATTCTTAATGCTTGTGTTTAAATTCAAATGAATGTGGGGACCCCCGTCCTCTTTTTTTTTTTTTTTTTTTTTTTTGCTCTCAAACATTTACAAAACCCATTCTGCACATCCCGTCTTTGGTAATAAACAAACATTGGCTGAGAGAAACATACTATGAATGTACAGGAACACCATAGAGTACATGTGTGTTTGCGTCCGTGTGTGTGTGTGTGTGAGATGAGCAAACTAAATAGGACATTGTGTTACACAACTAACCCCTTCCTGACATTGCTGAAGCTGGAGTGGCTCCAAGGCTTGCAAGCGCTCCAGCTCCTCTTGGTTATCTAGGTCACAGCCTCTGAGGAGAAGAGCCTCCGCCGCAGCAGCAGCAGCCCTGCATGACACACGCTTCACTCTCCTGTCTGTCTCGATCTCTTGACAAAACCTCAACACTGGCCCTGGTCGAAAGAGAAAGGGTGGGGGGGGGGTTTGCAGGAGGAAGAGCAGTTTAAAAAAAAAAAAAAAAAAAGTTACAGAGACGACATGTGTGGAGTGGTTGTGGGAGCACTCATGGAGGACGCATGGAAATGAAAATGGCAACGTTGGATTACATTTATACAATGCAATAGCTGTAGGCACATAATCCACCCAACCAACAACCACAACAGTGGAAAAAAACAGCCTCCTTCTGTAGGGTCCAATCCCTGCCTATAGAGGGGGGGAGGGCTGAGGCAGTTCCCTCCATCCAGCATTTATTGGAAAACAGTGCGAGTGAAGCTCGGTACTGAAATTAGTTATTGATCCATTCTCTCCCTGAAGCCCATGGGTCTTTCCCACCACACCTGCTCATTCTCATAGCCTTTTCTTTCACTGCAACCCATTGTGTCTTTCAGCCGTTGCTTAGACCTGCGCCTTTTTTTTTTTTTTTTTTTTTTTGCTGGTGCTGGTGTAGATCTTTTATTTTCTTACAATCACCTTGTCGTACGGAGAAGTCGTTCCAAAATATGATCCCGATAATCTACTAGAAAGTTTGATATTTACAAACAAAATAAATGGATGTGTTTTGGTTGACAAAGTAACACGTTTAAATGCTTCTAAGTTAACAAAATTTACACAATATTTCCAAAATGGCATTTTGAAATGAAAACCTTATACAACATGCTCGCAGAAGCGTGGACTCGAGTCACCTCTCGAGTCAGACTCGAGTCACAAATTGAATTACTTTAGACTCGGCTTCACAAAATACGGAAAAGACATACAACTTGACCTGGACTTTAACACCAATAACACTTGGACTCGACACTTTTGACTTAAAAATACTTGATTCCTTTCCCCAATTCCAAAGATGACAAAGTACGTCTATGTAATTTAAAGTGTGATAACAATCAATTCGTATCACAAAACTATTCATTCCCAGCAAATCAACACCAGATCTTTGTTTCTATAAGTTCAGTCACGCTTATTACAACAAACTTGTTTTCACAAATGCATTTTAAAAAGCATTCATCATTTGTATATATTAATAGTGTTGGTTAAATTGCATTATATTTGGGGAAGAGCGCATTATGACTTTTTTAAACTTAAAAACTCAAAGTTTAGGACTTGGACTTGAGTGCAAAGACTTAATTGTGTCTTGAAAACAATGGCCTGGTCCCAACTCTCCATGTTTGGTATGTTGCCCTCTTTATTTGAAAGTCTTTCTGTCATTCAGTTGTTATTTCTTCAAATAACCTGTTTCCATGTTAGAACAACCAAGTACTTCTTATTTTTCATCCCCAATTCTTAGTCTTAGCCGCAGTCCCTGACACCATCATCACCTTCAGCTCTACAGACTATGAAAGCTTCACAGACTATGAACAAAAACATAATACGCAGTACAAGGACTTTTAATACCACATTTTGAAGGATAGAACCACACAACTCATTTCACTGATATGAATTCATTAAAGTAAGAGACACAAAGCAGCTATGAGCATAAAACCTGCAAAGTGAATTTGGGCAATAACGGCTTTGATTTGAAATTCGCTGGAATTTTTCCCAAATGATGCTGTTTTTTTGTTGTTCATGTTGTTGGCTGAGTTCCTAGTCTGGCCTTAACCTTTTCATTAACCACTGTGTCACCAACTGAAAGACATCGTGGTCTGTCGCAGGCCTTTTCTTCTATTGAGCGCAGCCTGTGCAGAGTATGTATCTCCTTGTCTTCCAGTAGACATTGTCTAGACACGGGATGATTGCAGACATCACTGAACACTCAGCTGCTGCCTGAAACCTCATGGGAGTTGTGGTGGACTTTGGAGGGAAATGGCCAGCATCAGTGTGGGGGTGTGGGGGGGTGGGGGTCACACACACTACCCTTTTAGATTGTGTATTTATGTGTTTGCCCATACATCTACTTGCTCTATGTGTTTGCTGGTGTGGAGGCAATCGTGGATTCAGACGTGAGTGGGAGAGAGAAGAAGAAAGAGCGAAAGAGAGTGTAGACATTGAAACACAGTGTTCATAACTGCAGATGTGGTGACTTCATCTGAAAGAAATGTGCCCTGTCCTAGTGCTCTGCTTGCGTTGATGGAGCTCACCAAAATGAATCGCTGTTAATGTTAAGGCGAATTAAAAGCAAACTCTCACTTGACATCAACTGCACTTATGCACTCTCCATACAGCATATTTGATCTCACGTAAGATGATTGTTGTTTGGCTCAGGCACTGGTAAATGTAAAGCTGTGACTGGGTGTGGGGATGTGTGTGCGTGGGTTGTGGGGGGTGGGGGGTGTCGGTTGGTCTCTGAGAGATGGTCGCAGGTCGCCGGGTTCACTCAGGACTAATCTCAGTGTGGTTGGATTGGATGCCGGATAAGTGAATCCTGTTGGGACAGGCCATCTTCTCATTCTGCTCCAGGTGTTGGTTCCTCCTTTAGTCTGACACATGCTGACTGTTGTGCTCACCAGCCTTTATAGTTCTCATTTAGCTTTAACGCTTTAAGGTTATATTGAGGTTTTTTTTCTAAATATGTTTTTTTATTCTCTCTATTCTGTTGAGGGAAAATATGTCAAGATTCAAATTCAATACTGAGAGATTGTCTTTTCCACAACTACTCTACTTTATTTTATTCACTGTTTTATTGTTTCATACAACTCTTTCAGAATGTCTTTTCCTACTTTCCTAGTTCCTTGTTAAACTTAGATTCTGTTCACAATTCTTTATAAAACTCTTTCAACGAGTAAAGTAACCATACTGCTACACGCTACCTTTAACACAAAGCTGTTCTTGCTCTTTGAAGGGGAATAATTTGAAAGTGTAGCACACCAAAAAGTTATGCTTCCATTCTTCGACTCCTATTTTAGAAGCACACAAATCCACCACCCTCTACACTTCTACAACTGACGCCATTTCACAGAAATTCCAGACAACTGGCGCCTGAGTTCTGCCTCAAGAAGGACATGATGAATAGGACACACCCTTGGTATGCTAGTGAATGGTAGACTATATGGCACACTGCAGTGTTACGGCCTAGATTCACGACAGCCTCTCTCGTCCAGGCTCTTTGGATTGTCGTTTTCTCTGCTTTTCTCCCCCTGCGTTTCAAGCTGCTCGCCTATTTTTAAAAGCTTGAATTTGAGTGAAATGCACTGAGGCACCAGTAAGGCGAGCTACAGCTCTTTCCAGCGCTGGTTTTCTGATCCACCTCTTTGTTGTGGTCTATGCATGCCTGCTCTAGTCACATGACTGCGTTTCTATGGCAACTCGGGTTTGAGTAATCATTTGCGTTACGACCTTTATTCCCTTGAGGAAAGGGGAGGGGGAGGTTAGACTGAGCCTGTAGAAAGAGGGAGCAAGAGGAAAGAGAAAAAAGACAGGCAGAAGGGGAGCGGCGGAGAGGCACAGGGAGAGAAAATAGGCAGAAACAGCGGCTGTGGAGGGGAATTTTTTTGGTTTTTCTCGCCTTTATATTTTGTGTTTTATCTTTTTCTCTTCATACCACGCATGCAACCTCTACCTCACCGTATTCAGTAGTCTGGGAGGGGTGGGGGGGGGGGGAGGGAAGAAAGCCTGCCACTAAACACTGGGTGTTGTGTGCTTCAGTTTCACCATAATATCTTTTGTGTTGTTGTGACTCACTCAGTGACTAGGACGGGCCAGTGAGCTTGGTTGGAGAGGCAGCAGGCATGTATGTTTCATAAGGGCTTACATACACACACACACACAGACACACACACTCACACACACTCCTCCCCTTCACTTCTTCTCGGAGGAGAAGCAGTACTGTGCCACATGTGCAAGTCTCAGCAGAAACAGATTCTGTATGTTCCTGTTTCTTGCTCTCCCGGCTGCGTTTCCATGGTTACCGAGCTAGTCCACCAAGGCACACAGCTC